CAATATCATGTGTACACAACAATATCATATAGTTACATTTTCAGAAATCTTTCTTAGATGAACCTATATATTGAAGAAAAATTTTGTTCAAATCTTTGTGAATGTTATTTGGGAGTCAGAGGTCATAGCACAATCGAATCACAGAGCAAGGTGATATTTCTGTCACTGTGCAACTTATTTTGGAAGATCTCGAAGGAACAACAAAAAAGATAAAATAAAAAAGAGTATGGATATTTTTCACTTGCGAGATGTAGGATAAAAATTCTATCTAATATGTGAATAAGGTCTTGAATGCTCTAATAACCAAAAAACAGCGGGCGACGGTAGCAGAAACTATTTTCTAAAGGAAAATTAACAGAAAAATGTGTCATTTTGAAGTTTTTCTGCATTAATTTAAAAATGTACCAAATTGATGACGTCATATTTCAAGAAAGGCTCTTCTTCATGCCATATTCTTAAATAATTTATCAGATTCATCTACTCAACTATTGCTAAAGCCAATTTCATAACTTTTTAGGAATGATATATTTTATATATTATAAGTCATAAACAATTATACTGTTAAAAGAGTTTACTTGGAAATGAATTTTTAGTTAGTATGTGATCAAATCTATTTTACAGGGTCATATTAATTTGGAAAGCTTGGGAAAGAAGGGCTACCATATACCAAAGTGTGGGACGGTGCAAGTGGTACGTATAACAACCTTCTGTACTGAATTCATATCACTGTATCATTATATAAAATATTCATGTTAATGGAAATAAAATACTGGCATTTTTCTTCCCCAAAAAAGTCAAATATTAACCTAGAAGAATGAAATTTGTCTAAAGTATTTTCAAAAGGAGACCGAACATTTTCCTTTTTTTTTTTGCAGACTTTATTTAACCCAAACAAGACAGTCATCAAAATGTTTGTCGTCTTGTATGATCTCAGTGATATGCCACCTCAGTGTCAAACATTCCTACGACAGAGAACTGTGTACATGCCAGTGGAAGACAACAGCTCTCAGCCATCATATCTCAGATACCTCATACATCTCAGGTGAGATAATTAACAGATACCTCATACATCTCAGGTGAGATAATAAACAGATACCTCATACATCTCAGGTGAGATAATTAACAGATACCTCATACATCTCAGGTGAGATAATTAACAGATACCTCATACATCTCAGGTGAGATAAAAAACATCATACATCTCAGGTGAGATAAATCTCAGATACCTCATACATCTCAGGTGAGATAAAAAAAAACATCATACATCTCAGGTGAGATAAATCTAAGATACCTCATACATCTCAGGTGAGATAAATCTCAGGTACCTCATACATCTCAGGTGAGATAATTCACAGATACCTCATACATCTCAGGTGAGATAAATACCCCATACAGGTGAGATAAATCTCAGATACCTCATACATCTCAGGTGAGATAAAAAAAACATCATACATCTCAGGTGAGATAAATCACATATACCTCATACATCTCAGGTGAGATAATTCACAGATACCTTATACATCTCAGGTGAGATACTTAACAGATACCTCATACATCTCAGGTGAGATAACAAACAGATACCTCATACATCTCAGGTGAGCCAATTCACAGATACCTCATACATCTCAGGTGAGCCAATTAACAGATACCTCATACATCTCAGGTGAGATAAAAACCTCTACATCTCAGGTGAGATAATTAACCCTCATACATCTCAGGTGAGATAAATACCCCATACAGGTGAGATAAATCTCAGGTACTTCATACATCTCAGGAAAGATAAATACCCCATACATGTGAGATAAATATCAGATACCTCATACATCTCAGGTAAAATAAATACTAGTAACCCATGCAGGTGATATAAATCTCAGATACCTCATACATCTCAGGTGAGATAAATACCCCATACATCTCAAGTGAAATAGAATTGAGATTTTTATTCATGCATAAGAAATTTTTGTGAGGTTCACAAATATTTTTCGTTGTAAACAGGAACTTAAGTTTATGTGTTAACACTTAACAACAAATCCAAAATAGGTTTGATCTTTATAATTAATTGTTGGGAGATATTTTTCTCCAAGTCAATTGAAAAATAATCTGTCAACTATAAAAGCTGGTTAACAATACCTAATACCTATTAAATACCTTTCAGTCTGAGGTGTTGTATTTTTTATCCCAGGTGATTTTTAACTTGAAATATACTTGTTTACATTTACCTTAGAATTATCTCATATATCATCTCATTGTATTTTCTTCTGTTTTTTAGGTTTGCCAGTTCTAAATCTGGGAAGATATTTCTTCATACAGACATTCGTGTGTTGTTTGCCAGAGACAAGTTTGAATTTGACCCAAATGTCGCTAAATACGAACTCCGGTCCTTCACAGAAGCTCCTTCTAACCCCAAGTTCTCTCCCCGGAGGTGATGTTGGCCTAAAATAGGTCAAATTCAATATAAATTAGGTCAAACCTGGTTATAAACTAGGTCAAATTCAATATAAACTAGGTCAAACCTGGTTATAAACTAGGTCAAATCTTGTGTAAACTAGGTCAAATCCAAGATAAACCAAGTGAAATTTTGTGTAAACTAGATGAAATCTGGTTTTAAACTAGGTTAAATCTGGATTTTACAAAACCATTATTTCACAGAGGTCATGTCATAAGCTTTTGTTAAGACTGTTTATGTAGCTCAGATCTAGTTATTTTGTTGTTGACATACCTAATTTAATTTAAGGCTTGAACTAGGTCAGTGTATCTAGGTTTTTCCTGGTTATGTATGGATGTTAACGTCTATATGGTATATATGTCATATTTTTTGAAAAAAAAATCATAGATAATAATCTGTGTGTGTGTTGGGTTGATATTTATTTATATATGAGAATCAGTGAGCGTTTGATTTTTTTTTTGTTACGAGTAGTAAGGTTTATTGTTTAACATCTGCCATCTCGGAATACAAAGTAACAGATTTGTAATATGCGCATGTGAGTTAAGGCTATATATAGAGGTTTCTATGCAAAATATCTAATTAAATTCCTTAATTACTCTACCTTACGCACAGAAAATGCTATGACTTGTTTTTTAATACATTCTTAGTACCCACGACATGCGATAGCCAGTACACATTATGACGTCATATTATGACGTCATAAACCTGTACTACAGAAGTTTATAAGAAACATCAACAAAATCGCTTCGGCGCAAGGGCATACCTTACTTTGTTTTACAAAAACAATGTATAAAAAGAAGCAGGATATTCATAGGATTTAAGATATTGCTGCACAAATGTCGGCAATGCAATTGTTTAGTTACTAATTCTGCATTTTTAAGTTTAAACAGGGTAAAAAATTCACAGTCCAGTGTAAGTTTTCTAAAAATGTTATCGATTGAGAAAATGCATAGGATTTGTGCAGCAATTTTTTTTAATTTTTAGAATATTCTTGTTAATATTATACATTATTTATTTTAAATTAGATAGGATATGCCCTTGCGCCGACGTGATTTTGTTGATGTAATTTAATACTATGAATGGAAGAGAACAATGACGTCATAATATGACGTCATAATTTGCACTTGCATTAATAAACTGTGGGTACTAAGTATGTATAAGAAAATCAATTTGAATCTTCTCTGTACATAAAATATACAAATTATGAATTTTTATTAGCTCATTTGCATAGAAATATCCATATTTAGCCTTAACTCACTTGCGTGCAAGATATACTACATATTAACTTTGATGTTAGTGCTGAAAACCTATACCTGAACTCTATCAAAAATTGTGCCTATGTTAACTTATAGTTACATGTATCAATGTATCCCTATGCATTGAAAAGAAAAGTGATGGTTCCAAGTTCTTACATATTTTTGAATAGTTCCAAAACAATGTATAAACAAAAGTAAAACAAGTACAAAAAAATGATGTTCCCCGTCTCTCTCTCTCTCTCTCTCTGTCTCTCTCTCTCTCTCTCTGTACACAAAATGACAAAGTTTATATGTTAAATGATACCTTGTTTTATATGACGTCTATGGTGATTTTTGTTTGATTGTTATATGATTTTTGATTTGAGTTTGTAATTTTATTGCTTATTATAATATAAATATGTTTGATGACTTTGTAAACATTTTTTCTGATATAAACTTGTGTAGAAATACAATGTTCTTAGTTGTCATTCTGAGCACTTTGATTAGTCAAGGTTTTGTTAAAACACGTCCATTATACTTTTGCATGGCAATTTCAAGCCCTTTTATCAAGAACAACTTCTTATAAAAAAAAAAAAATTTATAGTTTTATACATTTTAATTGCTTCAAAACTCAATCTTGTATCTTCAATTTTGAAAAATATGCATATACAGTAACATTTCAAAAAGAGTCTTATTCTTTTAAGTCTAACTTTGAAATATTTTATTTAAACAAACATCCACCACTTTTACTAGAGTTAAAGCCATATATGGCGTATGTGCAATGAAAATTATTAGACTAAAATTATAAGAACTTATTATTTGTATCATTACTTTATATAAAGATAGAACTTTTCCGTAAATTGTAAAATCTAAGTCAATTGCGTTATAAAGATATCACAATTTAAATTTGATTCTCGGAATTTTCTCTGTATCGGAAGAAAATACAAAAGATTTAAATAACACATTACATAGAAGATAAAATTGTATTTTTAGACGAGAAAAGGTGTTCTCCGTGTTCAGAGTTATATGAAAAGCTTTAATTTGAATGTATTAACTATATTTCTTTACTTAATTTTGTATTTTTCAAAAATATATTTTTTGATCAGTTACGCCATATATGGCTTTAAAATTTTTATAAGTTAGAAATATCTGTGAGAACCATATTTTAAACATACGTGGCACAATTAGCTGTGTATCAGAAAGAATTTCATCAAATGAGCGACATGTACAGGGTTATACAATGACTTCACATCAGATACAAATAGGTGGCTCATTTCATTGTCCCAGAACGTACCCTTTAATTTGAAAACTTGAAACTGTAAAAGAATAATCTACGAGGCATATGTCGTATTATGTATCAAGTGTATGATTATCAAATTAAACATTTTACAATTGTATCAGTCGATAACTAATTAAGATGTAAACTTCATAAGGCTTATTTCGACTCCACAATAGATGATTTTGAATCCTCTGTTTCCTGTAGATACTTGTACACTTTTATTGTATTACTATACATATCTCCTACATAGAGGTTGTGTTTGTCGTCCACACACAGAGTCGTGGGGCGGAATAGTCCGTGTTCTTGTGTCAGGAGGAGACGCAGGAACTGACCGTCCTGATCCAGGAGATGGACACTGGAATTCGATAAATCACACACCAGTACCTGTCCATGGATATCGGTACAAATACCACCGGGAAAAAAGCCAGACTGGTGCTGACCTCTGTAGTTAAACCGATGTTGTCCTGATTTATCCATCACAACCACTTCTGTTCTACCGATGTCAGAGACCCAGATGTCTCCATTGTTGTTTTCTGTGATAAATGTTGGATAATGAATCCTATAATCCTCCAATTCTATGCGATGGTTTCCCCTCCAGTCACACCTGAACACTCCATGTTTATAACCAACCAGTATGTCACCGTTATTGCGGGAGGAATGGATACAGAATAAAGGCTCACGTGGTCTGAAGAGTGTAGTAACTGTTCCACCTAACGTCATCTTCTGCACTATATCTCCATTTATAAATATCATGTCCCCGTCCGCTGCGACGGAGTGAGCTCCTTGATAACTTGTAACATCAATTTTCAGTTTCTGTATTACGTGTCCGGTGTTGTCCACCTGTAGGAGACGTCTGTGTTCACTGACCCACAGTCTGTCTGACGTCACACAGGAGATATGATAAACGCTGTCAACTCCGGGTACAGTTATACTGGACGTAGATACCACGTACGTATCCAAGTGTTGTGATAATGATAAATCTATGAAAAAAGATTATATACAATATGCAACAATGATTGGTATAATACATTATACGTTAATAACTATTTAACAATGAGCGTTATATACATTATAAATTGATAAATGATTTATTTTAAAATGTGAGATATAATCTGTATGAAAAATACATGAAATCAGTGAAAATAAATACCGCTATCCCTACGTATTGCTTGTTTTGAAAATGTTATACGTTAACTCGTGATGTTCAATTGTCGGAACAGCCAGCTGCTGTTATAGAACCGACGTCATCTCTAATAAAATATCCTTAAAATTAAAGTAACATAGGGGAAAGTTCGGATTACCTAAAATCAGTGTAAGCTAACCTGAGCTAAATGGCTCAAGGGAGCTTTTCTGATCACATTTGTCCGTCGTCCGTCCGTCTGTCTGTCTGTCCGTCTGTTAATTTTTCGCATTTTTGACTTCTTCTCATGAACCGCTGGGTAATTTTTACCAAACCTGGTATATAGCATCCATCGGTAAACGGGAGTTTAAATTAGTAATAAAAATGAAGAGACAAGATCTCCTACAAGAGGAGACAATTAAAAAAAGACCAAAATTGGTCTCAGGAACCACTGCGTCAGGAAAGCTGAACTAATGTGGAAGCATCCTGGGATAGCGTAGATGTTATATTGTTAAAACAAGACCCCTGGGGGTTGGGCAGGACCATAAAAAGAGTCATAGTTTTACATAGAATATATAGGAATAAGATTTTAAAATCTTCATATCAAGGACCACTGGGCACTGGATTTATTTGCCTGGGGTACTGCAGATACTAAATTGATATGATCACGTCCCCCGCATCGTCGCAAACCACGGCCAAAATGTACGATCCTCTCCCATATGGAGAGAGCTATATGCGGACTCCGGACCGTGGCTTGAGACGGGGACCAAAATAGGGAATCAAAATTTTACATAGAAATATATAGGAATAAAATTTTAAAATTTCTTCTCAACACCCACTAGGCTTTAAAAACTGAAAATTATATTTTGAATTGCTAAGATTGTGAATTGGGGAGAGGGGTTACGACGAGGCCACATGTACATAGGTAATACAAGGGAGGACAGAACGGAATCATTGATTGATTGATTGATTGTGACATTGATATGGAGACGTCACCATTGCCAGTGAAGGGCTGCACATTTAGGCCTATGCTCGACACTTAGGGCCTTTGAGTGGGGAGGGATCTTTATCATGCCACACCTGCTGTGACACGGGGCCTCGGTTTATACGGTCTCATCCGAAGGACTGCCCCATTTAGTCGCCTTTTACGACAAGCAAGGGGGTACTGAGGTCTCTTTTTATCATTGAACTTATTAGGCGATATGGCTCATGGGCCTTTTTTTGTCAAACTTGTGTCCATTTTGTGAAATCATCTTATAGACCCTATATGGTGATCGATATCTTTTTATGTTGAAGGAAAAGCATTTAATCTTTTGAACAACAAGACAGTATAGCATGATTGGATGCAGTAATTTTCCTTCATAATGTCTAGCGAAAAGGTAATGTCTATGACCTGACCTTGACTGCAATATAAAACGGTCAAAACTAAACTGATACCGTGACTTAGAAATGTTGTCTTCTTGATTCTGTGAAGATTTTATTAATTTTTAACGTACTAAATAGAGCTTTGAGTGAGATAAATCCATTATTTTCGACAAAATTAGAAGGAAAAGTCCTCATGCCAACATGTTGTTTATCCTTACCTCTGAATTTTTCCAGAGGGATTTCTTTTTCTCTTTTTAAATTGTCTTTTCTTTCCATTTCCTTTATGATGGTATCCATTTTAGGATTTTCAAGTGCTTCTTCAATATTCTTCGAGAGTTTCAATATTGTCTTCAATATACGATCAAAATCTGTTTGCTCCAGACACAGAGGAGGATTATAAATGTATTCTCTGTAAATGTCCATAATGTTATCAATAGACGCAGCCATTGAAGTGTCTGATGGTTCTGGCGTATTACCCCATCCCCTTCTATGGGGTTCTATCATACACATATTCTGGAATAAAATGTAAATGAGAGGGATATCTAAACATTTGTAACTCCCTGAGAATGATCCTTTCTCGGGATAAAGCACACTCTGTTGATCAACAGTTAGTAATGGTAACAGCTGATCTCTAGACTTGTGGATCCTTGTTATGAAATCCTCTTCTAAGACGTATTTTCGAAGGATTTTACGGAACAGGGTTGTACACGGGCCAGATAAAAAACTTTGGACTTGTGGTTCATAAGAAATTTGCCCTGCAACATCCATTTTATGAAGTCTTAAATCATCTGCAATATGAAACATAAGACAATTAGAGGAATGTATAACCCCAAACCCCAAAGTGGTTAGGAACAAACATGCAGTAAGTCCTCATTTTATAACACTTTGTCAATTATCATAGTTGATGCATTATCGTATACATATTTACATTCTATGTTTGTATGTGGTATGTCTTTGAAAGTTAAGTTTGTAGATTGCTCAATAACTCATGACTCAGTTAGCCTTTCACTTGTCGAAATTTATTTTCAGTTTAATTTATTGAGAAAGCTGCAAACTTAAGGGGGAAGGGAAAGGAGGGGACGTTCAAAATGCAAAGTAATTTTCCAGAAAACTATAGAAAACTTTATTTAACTATTATTTAATACTTTGCTTCTGCGACCTCAATAAAAAATAAGAAGTGTTTGTGAAACACTATGCGCAAGGCGTTTCAAGATCCATGACGAAAGTTCGAAAGAGCTATTTGTAGCATATAGTTCACAGTCTTGGTCACAAGGTCATTGACCTTGGTGTAATTTCAAAGAACTTTATTAGTGTGTTATAAATATAAATCTCTATCTTGCATATTTCAAAAGTTTTGGTGAAGGTTAAAGTTGACAACAAACAGACAGGACAAAAATATATGTACACGCCAGATTTCAATTTGGACACATAAAAAAAAACTAATGACATTTTTAGGTTCGTCAAGAAATTGATAATGCTCTCATAGGAAAAAGCAATGCTGAGTGCTATTAATACCCGAGCAACAAAGTACATATGCAGTGATTTCTTTTTCCAGTTCTGATGAGAGCTATCGTATATTTCTTCGATCGTGTATTGAGTCTATAGTGTGTTTCTTCTGATCACATATGAATTGAATTTCTTTTAACAGAAAAAAGTAATCGAAGCTTACTTGCTAGGTTTAGCACATTACATTATCATTAAATCATTTCAAACATTTCATACTCAAAATATTTAAATAGTTTATTGAGTCCGTGCATGTGTAAAAACATACCTTGTTGGATGTTAATCAGCTTGTTTTCAATTTTAATCCAATCTACATTGTATTGCAATAATCGAGAAAGTTGGTGCGGACCCTTTTCTCCAAATTTTCGTGCAAAACATTCTTTCATTGATATCACAATAACGAAACTACTTTCAGGTTGCAATCCAACCAGTTTTATAGAGTCTTTATCACAACCAACTATAGCTGCTACTGTTGCTAACAATGAGTCAATATCTGTGAATGTTGCTATATCATCTACTACGTGTATCTGAACGTGCTTGCATCCATCCCCTGTCAAACGAAAAGCAAAACTTTACAAAACTATCTTCATTTAGTGAAACAATACTCTTGGGAAGGAACCACACCAAGGTCATGTTTTCTAATTAAATTATTTTAGGCATGGACTAGTCAATCGGACATTTCTTCCACTTTGTACGAAATGTAATTTTATAACAAGCATATATATGGTGAAAAGGGTGCATTAAGAACGATATAATACGAGGGCTGTTCAATAAATAGTATTTGAACTGTATGACATGCAATACAGATATCATATGACATCAAGCTTGACTTTTTCGCATTATTAAATATTTAATGAATGTATAACTATATATGTGGCTGCTTTTCAAAACATTATTTAATTTTGAGAAGCTGTGATAATTGATTGATAGATTGAATATTGTTTTAGGCCATGTTTCGGCGGACTATTACTTTAAATTGTTTTTTGAAAGATTTTGGTTTCTCTGACGTCCCTCAGTGAGCTTACACTTTTTCAAACTCCAGAGAAATGAATGTTAAAAAATCAAAAAACTATAGTGAAATTAAACTCTTCACTTAAGCTGCTTTAAAACTCGTTAAGAATACTAATAAAGAAATATTTACTGAAATTTGAAGAATTTACAAAGATATATATTAGAATCTACCTGGTATTTTGTTTTCTTCAAAGTAGCACAGTGCTTGTTTGTTCTTTATGGCGTATTCCACACATTTAAGTTCAAGATCAGGGCGTTTAATGCTTCTCATCAAGTACTGCATCATAATTACATTTCTTTCTTGGAAAATTTCCTCTTTTAGGAGAAATATGAACAAGTCCTCAATTGTAGGTAAATTATCTAAAGACAATAATTCCATGGAGGTCAGCGCTACAATAAAATAGAAAAGGAATAAAATTTAAACAACAGAGACTGTCAAAAGTGGTCAAGTTGTAACAAAAATTAATATAAGGACATAGATAAAAAGAAGGTTTAATGATACAGTGATTTATCACACCTTTGTCCCTTTAGCTCGTAAATATAACTAATTTGACATTTTTGTTAATCACACTGCTGTTATGTCACTATGGGTTTGGTGTGAAATTGATGATATTAGTGTGCATTCATTTATATAAAAAAAGGGTAATCTGCATAAAAACTTATTCTATATTTTGCAAATCAACACTTCATGGGAAATATTTAAATATTTCATTGATATTAAAATTCTACACATTATAGTAAAATACGGAGCTTGAGCAAACCTGTGCTAAGCGACTTTTAGTCAAAATATTGACGTCATATACACAACTTTTTGCAGAAATCATGCAGATTTTAAACTGATCTTCTTAGAGATCTTCTTTTTAGAACATGTACGTGTTTATCAAATTTTCTTACATAGGAAACATTTATTCAATGTTTTGCTTAAGATCAATATCACCTGTTAAGGTTGATATCAGTGGCTTTAAATCTCTCTCCGATATTTCTCTGATGAGATCCAGCTTAAGGTTATTGAATCTGATTGAAGATCCCTTCTTACTGAAGATTGCTGTAAGTTTACTGGTAGCTATAAAACAATAACTAAACATAAAAGTTAACAATTTACCGGAAAACTGTGCATTCTTCATTTTGGTTTGCTGGTAATGATTGAATATTTTATTTACAAAGAGAAATATTTTTTTGAAAAATACAAGCATATGCCATGTTTCAATTTAAATTAGTAAAAGCTTTTAGATATATATTTTGCAAGGTTAAAACTGGAATAAGATTGTGTTACAATGGAGTTTACATTCATTCACTACACATATGTACTTTGATTTAAATAATTCTATAGCAGAGGAGATATATGGTTTAAACATTATGTACCTACCTTTGGTATTTGGTACTTCATTTGAGCATGAGCACCTCTCGTCTAGAAATTATAAAGAATGATATGTTGTCATAAATTAACAAATTGGCGAAGAATTATATATAGTACCGGAAAATCTTTGCTACACTAAGTTTACTAATTAATTTTACTTTCTTCTTATATCAATTAAATTGAGGTAACGCATCTCGTATAAATGGTGGTAATACACAATATCTTTTTACACTGCCAATGATATATTCGTAAGAAAAATACTTTTAATACTTCTTATTATCAGTTGGGGAAATAATACAAGAGTTACTGAACTCTTATTGGTGGATATTGGAAGTCGTTGGTTGTACAAAAATATTTTCATGTTTATTTAAGAGACCAAGAAAGTCATAATATATTAATCATACATTTAATCTTCCTAGAAAAGAAGAGTTCAGTATGAAATTATATCATAGATAATTATCAGTTATAGGCGAAACGTTTTTTTTTTCAAAAAATAGTCATATTTTTTTCTTTATCTCTTGAGGAATTTCAAACACACCTGGAATCTCCCTTGTAGTGGTTCCAATAAAGTTTTGAACCTCAATATGTATAAGATGATTTTGTAACGTCACGTTCTGTTTAATACATAGCAGTGGTTTAGGAAGATTATTTGATGACCCTTTGTATTCCTCACTTGTGATGTCTAATGCTTTATAACTACCGCTGCTTGCATTTTTTATGCTCCATTGAGCTTGAATTGGTTCCGGAACTGATTTTATCAAGGCTGTAAAAACTTTTTTGTCAATTTCTTGTAAATTTGGTCCTTGTATTTCAAGTTCAGGAACTCCTGAATAAAAAATATAAAAATATTTAATTATATCAAAAGATTAATAAATGGTACCTCACCAAGAAACCATACAAAACAATTAGTTATGGATTTATTTTTCATGAATAAATTCAAACATGTGCAATGTTTAATTATTTTGGGATGCGTAAATTGAGGATATAAAGTATTTGTCGCTTTATTATACCCCCCACCCCATCCCCAAAAAATCTTCAAATAGGAGTCACCTTTTGTGATTTTGTCATGTCCTTTACTCAAGGTCATTTGGGCAAGTTCAAGGTAATTGAAAGAAAAAAATCATAATTCGTGTGTTGCAACCACTATTAAAATAATTATATCAATAGTGGTTGAGTGTTCATATCAATAGCAAACATACTTAGTAACCACTATTGAAACTCGATCACTATTGAAATAATTATTTCAATTGTGGGAGAGAGTGCATTTCAAAAACAAATATAGGTTTCAACCACTATTGAAATACGACCACTATTGAAATAATTATTTCAATAGTGGTTGAGAGTGCATTTCATTAACAAACATAGATATTAACCACTATTCAAATACGACAACTATTGAAATAATTATCTTATTGGTGAGTGTGAGTGCATTTCAATATAAAAACCATAGGTTTCAACCACTATTGAAATACGACCAGTCTTGAAAGATAAGTTTCATCGCGTAATTTTAAATTTTTTATCCAAAATTTTACAAAAACTAGAAATTTTTTAATTGCGTCATTTTAAATGAAATCAGACTAAAACCTATATACCAATCCAGGCATCCAACTTTATTTGTATCATCTGTCCTTAAATGAAGATTAAGATAGTTATTGAAATTATAATTTCAAAAGTGATTTGAATAATTATCTTAATAGTTGCTGATAATACTTCAAAACTAATTTTAATCCATACTGAAGTCTTTATTTCAAAAGTCAACATTATCTCAGTAGTGGTTGCAACCTTTGTTTGTTATTGAAATGAATTTCACCCACTATTGAAATAATTATTTCAGTAGTGGTTTTATTTCAATAATGGTTACTAACTATGCTTATTATTGAAATGCACTCTCAACCACTATTTATATAATTATTTCAATAGAAATTGTTTTTCAATAGTGGTTACTAACCTGTTTGATATTGAAATGCATTCTCAACCACTATTGAAATAATTATTTCAATAGTGGTTGTATTTCAATAGTGGTTACTTACTATGCTTGTTATTGAAATGCACTCTCAACCACTATTAATATAATTATTTCAATAGTGGTCGTATTTCAATAGTGGTTACTAACTAAGTTTGCTATTGAAATACACTTTCAACCACTATTGATATAATTATTTCAATAGTGGTCGTTATTTCAATAGTGGTTGCAAGATTCGTGCCTGGTCAATTTTTTTTCTTATGGATAATCTTGGTGAGTATTTATTTGACCCGATGGTGAGTCTTGACCTTGACCAAAGATCAATTGTGCTAGGTCACTGAAAGAAAAAGTTCATAGATCTTTGTCCGTATCTTTCTTGTGAAGGACCATTAGAATAAACTACTTCACACAAAGATTTATCATGACCTGAGTGTGTGTCATGAATTTGAACCAAGGTTGTTTGGGCAAGGTCAATGTCACTGAAAGAAAAAAAATCATAAATTGTCTCCGGTTCCTATTCTTAGTATTGATTATTTTTATTTGGCAGCATATTTCAGTTCCATTCATTAAAATTAGGCCAAAACTATAGGTTAATTGGAATGGTTTCAGGATTAAAATTTTCTTATCGGAAATCATGGCAACCATTTTGTTCCACGAATAGAAAAAAAATACCAAGAATAATCTTATTCCCAATCGTTGATCCCACTGCATTAGAGGCTTTACACTGATAGTTCCCAGCATCTGATTGATTGACGTTTGTAATGGTTAATGATGGTTCATCAAGTGTTCCTCCGGTATACTTTCCTCCACTTCCGAATATGTCGATTACACTTCCGTCTTTCTTCCATGCAATTTCACTCAAAAGAGGAGATTGTTTATAAAGAAAAACCTGGCACGTCAATATCACAATACGGCTTTTGATGTTGGTTTCATGGCCGTTTGAAATGTTTGGGGGATCTAGAACGGTAAGAAATTAAATTCACCTGAAATGTTTTATACCCTTTATTTTTAATTGACATTATACAAGAACCCGTTTTCTACGTACCTCCTGTAACTTTAAGAAGAATAGTGTTACTGACACATTCTCCAATGCTGTTCCATACTCGAAGTCGGTAATAAAGTTTGTCATCAAACGTTAGTGATGTCAATCTAAGTACAGGATTACTTGGATCTAATATACTATTTGCATATTTTCGGTCTCTAACATAAATAGTTTCAAAGATGACAGCATCAATACTTTTTTCCCACACCGCTCTTTCCGCCGGTGGACAAGACGATACAACAGAGTTTATATCAGTGTTCTCCCCGTAACAAACGGACTCTGCTAAAATACTGACCTTTGGTACACCTACAAATGAAAATTTGCAATATTAAACAATTCAATATTAAATCAGCATCATAAGTTGAAATTTACCATACCTGAAGTGGCATTTTAAAACAACAAACTAACCTAAAATTATTGACTCTGCAACAGCACCAACTGCATTGGCTATAATACAGGTGTACTCTCCACTGTCTTGTAGCGATGGGGAAGTTATAGTAAGTGAAGAATTTATAAGATCCCCTCCAAGATACTTTTCCTGCTCTTTAGTTATTACCTGGCCGTTTTTGGTCCAAGCAATATGATGTACTTTTGGAGAGTCTTGTGATACTTCATACTTGTAATGAAGAGTTATACCGTCCTTTCCCGAGGTAACTTCTAATTTCTTAAGAACTGGCCTCTCTGTAACGGTTTATTTATTTAAAGCTGAAAATCTATTCAGCAGAATATCCTAACGTCCAGTTTTGTAATTGCACATTTAATAGAGTTTATTGTAACTTAGAAAGGAAGATCCCTTCGTCTTATGATGTGTCAATTTATGTTTTTAATAGCAATAACTTCTCACAAGAAAAAGAATGTTAATTAAACAACTCTCATTAAAGATAATCTGATCATAGCCAATTACCTCCGGTGACTTTCAATGTCAGCACGTTGCTTGGTATTTTGATGTGCTGCCCATTAGAAGACCCAGATATAATGGCCTGGTAGTCACCCTGGTCCTCCTTTGATGCCCTCTGTATGACAAGTTGTCTATTGGTGCTGTCTGTATATTTCCCTGTACTGGTATCAATCTGTTCTAAATTGTTCCCTCTAACCTTGTGCCACGTGATAGGCCAGTTCTGTGTTGACGTTGATGTCTGTTCTATCTCAGCTTCAAAAGATGCCGCTTCTCCACAAATGATTGTTGTATTCCCTCGTAAAGTAATCGTTGGAAATTCTTGTGTAAGAAAATTAATATCATGACAATACTGACTTCAGAGCAGTTCGCTATAACTATTGGTACGCATTTTTAGACGACATCGACAGAAGTCATAGAAAGTGAAATTGAGAGAATGTGCGAGGGCAATAACACTTATTCGGAGGTTAAAATTGCTTGATTTTTTTTTACCGCTTACTGGAGTCAAAAATAATTGTTATGTAATCCCTGAAAACTTATAAGACAGAATCTTGCAAGTGGAATGAGGGCTTAATAAATTACGGTTAAAGCCATGTGTACAGAGCAAGGTGAGTTACGTAATAATCAAAACTTTAGAATTAGAGAAAGACTTGCCTTCTTTTTCTTTCATAATCCTTAGTGTTGCCTCTAGCATGAGTTTGAACTTTTCCATATCTTCAAAACCAAAGTTACATTTTCTAACATCTGCCAGTTCTTTCTCGTAATTAACTGGATTGAACCCTTGTTTCCTTAAAAATGAATCCATTCGCTTCATGACATCTTCTATCTCAGCCCAACGTGCTTCAAACAGAGCATCAGGGATAGATGAAGATTCCAAATGTCCAAGCATACCGTTCCTGAACTGCCTGAGACGTTCAATATCATCAGCGATCTTTATATCAGTGGCCTTTGGTTGTTTTCCCCATCCCTGTGTTGGAACTAAGTGCGGACAAAGATTTTGTATGAGTTTATATAACAAGGAAACATCAAATTTACCATAGTCAGGAATATCTGGAGGCAAAAGAAAGCACAGTTTCCGCTGTTCATCATTCAGTTTGTATTTCCCGGTTAACAAAACAGTGCAAGAGCTGATGGCATTGTACAAGTTAATAGGCTTGATAGAAAGTATAAGGATATCTTTCATTGGTAATTTAATTTTGTCTACTACGGCTATCCCTAGACGGACAAAATTTTGTTGATCAGTAGGTAACAGCTTGGATGCCATTTTTGTTTTATCAGCTTATGGAAATTTTAAGATAAAATGATCATCCAACTCCTGATTCATGCTCTTCTGTCACTGAAAAAAGAAAGTGAACAATCATTTAGATGTCAACTTTTCTGAACAATATTGTGATTTTTTTTTCATCTGTCAGCATAATAATCAAATTACATATGTTTTTGTCAGTATGCTTAGGACATCGAATAGGACGGGAGATAAATGTATCAGATGATGATATTTAATGATAAAATTATCAAACATATCATAATCCGCCGCTGTATCTTATAATTAATCACTTCCATTTTTTTCAAAATCATATACTTCAAGCGAACGTTAATATAAATAAATCTGATTGTATATAGGGTTACTCTGAAGTTGATATTATAAGACATTTAAGTTTCTCATTGACAACATCTAGTCAGAGTTACCGAATAGGAAACAGAAATCTTTGAGCAAAAAATATTCATAAAAATCAATAAATATTTATATTCAGTGTAATTTTCCTGATGAAGTCCATTAGAAACCCACGAAGTTCAAATTTCTTTAACACACGCGAAACCTTGTCACCGCGCGTTAGAATTTACAGCAGGAACTATAAGCATTTTCAGTACTAAAGGGACACCAAAATACAAAATGTTTCATTTCAATTTAATGAAAAACTATAACCCTAAAAAATTAACCTAAAAATTAACAATGTGTGCCTTAAGAATTAATTTGTCACTTTTTCCTCTCAATGTTTGTTTGCGTTATTTAACTTTGCAACGTCATTTGACGTCACAAATGGCTCTTACATCTATTAACCACGGCAGTTTTGAAGGGCGCTAAAATCACATTTAAGATGAACGAAATAAGCAACTATGAAGAAGGAAAGTTAGAAAATGTAAATATAAGCATTGAACTCATATTATTGGAAAACAATACTGAAAGGATTGCGTATATCTATAACTGTATAAATACGGGTACGGGGTCAAGAGGTCATATATGTGAGTATGGATAATCGTTTGACGTAATTTCTCAGTGACATAATAAAGAGTCGACGCCCGTTCAGTGGATAACATACTAATAGTTGCCGTTGAGTTTGAAAAATAATTCATTTTACACGTACGTTAAAAGTCACAATCAGACAAATATAAAGTGTT